CTAGCCTTCTAATCTACAGGTCTACGGATTGAATCCTGGCTACCTATAGACCTACGACAGACCTACCTACCACTGGCGGTTCTACAGGTCGCAGGTTCAACTCTTTGAGTTGACGCAGGTATTGTACACAGGTAAGTTGGGGAACTAGGGATCGAGCCCTGGGATCTGCCTCAGCTACCACGAATTGGTGAATACCGTTTCAGCTCTGTGGCGTGATACGCATTTAAGGACAGCTTTGGGAAAGAGCTAACGATGCCAAGTATGAGACTATTGCGGCCATTCGTCCGTCTATTAATCTCGCTCTGGTTACCTTTTTTAAAAGAAAAATGTAGGAGCGTTCAACTCTGACATGTACATCAAGCTTCATACGTGTCTGAGCGATACGCGTTTAAGGACAGCTTTGGCAAAGAGTGTCGGAGCGATACGCTTTTAAGGACAGCTTTGGGAAAGAGCTAACGATGCCAAGTACGAGACTATTGCGGCCATTGGTTCGTCTATTAATCTTGCTCTGGTTGCCATTTTCTGCGGTTGTTAAAAAAAAAAAGTAGGGGCGTTCAACTCTGACATGTACATCAAGCTTCATACGTGTCTGAGCGATACGCATTTAAGGACAGCTTTGGGAAAGAGCTAACGATGCCAAGTATGAGACTACTGCGGCCATTCGTTCGTCTATTAATCTCGCTTTGGTTGCCGTTTTCCGTGGTCGTTAAAAAAAGAAAAAGTAGGAGCGTTCAACTCTGACACGTACATCAAGCTTCATAAAGGCAAGGCTCTTCCTGGCCTTCGAGCAACAGAGGGCAATCATCATGGGCGATGTTCCATTCCATCGGGGTGAGAAAGTGCAGAGGATGATCGAGGAAGCTGGGCACACCAGCCTTTACCTTCCTCCTTACCCTCCCTTCCTGAATCCAGCAGAGTGGGTCTTTGGGCATGTCAAGACTCGTGTTTCTCGTGAGGAACTGCGGGCGCAATGGAACTTGATTGATGCAATCAATCGGGGTCTTTTTATGATCACGCCAGATATGTGCGGTGGGTGGATTAGAGAGGTCACACAGAACTTCAGTAGAGTGAATCGGGGGGAAGCTGTAGGTCAAAGGCATACCTAAGTGCTCGGCAGGTGTTTCGGCAGCATGCGACTAACTACTGCAATAACTTGACTGATTTGGTGTTTTGCTCTGTCAAAATGGTTGTGTAAAGTCTGAAATCTGTTGGTCGTCGGGTGAAATCGGTTGTTGGCAACTGAAATTGTTAAATAAGATCACCTAAAATATCTTCCGCGGCTAATGTGCTAAATCTTTTGGTGAATTGCACATCATTTGTCCTTTTTTTTCCGTTTTTGATGGACCTTACCTGACGCCAAAGGAGTAACAATGACATAACAAACAACTGAAGAGAAGACCATCTCTCCACTCAGATAAGCACCACTGCCTGCCTCTTGGATGCAGAAACAGGGTTAAATGTGTGTTTGGAACTGACCAGGCTTCCCTTCTTCCCTGGATCCCAATTTCCAGCTGCAAAGCTGGAAGATGAGGTTGGAATAGAAGGACAAACAGTCATCTTGCAAAGGTACCCTTGTACATATGTTTCGATTTCAGGAAGTGTGACCTGGGGCCTTTGGGAAATTTGTGATTATTCCTTCAGTGTTTGCATCTTTGCACTTGATTAGAACAATGACCACCTGATAGAACACCAAAATCCTCCCCCCCACCTGGGCCCCTAAAGCTTCTCATCTAAGAAGTCTAAACCATTTAAACCACCAGTACTTGGCCCAGCTATCGTTGCCGAGCCTGGAATCCCCCTGCGCGCCAATTTTTGCCGAAGCGCCAGGGTACCGTTTCAATTTTTTTTGGCTGGCGCTTCCAGCCATTGAGGTCCGGTACCCCGAAGCCCGAACTTTGCGTAGCGTTAACGGCAACGGCCCGCGGCCGATGTATGGGCCAAGTACCGGTGGTTTAAGAACTGACAAGACGGCACAAAATGGAAGATTGTACAAATGCCTCTGCAAACACAAACATAGAGATATGTGTCCTCCTCACAGAACACCAGTACTTAAACCTTTAGTGAAGCCACCAAAAGTGATGATGAGTCACTTGAAAACCATTGCACCTTCTGTGCCTCCCAACCACCTCAACGCTCCCCTCCCCCTCCCTCCCACCTGCCTCCCTCCATTTCAAGTGTCCCAAATGTGGTCCTCCGAAGCATTGGGACAGAGGCATACATTTCTCCCTTACCCAGTCCTCTCCGAATGCTTGCACACAAGACAACCTTCCAGGGTTCAAGAATGCACTCTTGTCAATCGAGATTCCAAACCCCTTTTCTGATCTTTTTTTGCCCTTTACTTTCTTTTCCAATTCTCATCGATACACAGACTGGGCCTAAACAATTATCCACCTTCATGACTGGCGCCTACATTGCCCTCTGCGCTCAATTATACAGTCAATGCCATATCCACCGTCCATACATAGACGACAAGGCTGATGGGGACAAAGAGGGAAACTCACTCCTCCGGCCCTCCAGGGGCCACTTGAAAACTACCATTTCCTTTTGAAGCAAGGAGCAACCAGCAACACGGGGGAAGCAACCCTACCCTACCCTACTCTACTCGGTCAGATAAACTGACAACGCACAAAGGGATATCGTATAGGAGTCATGGCTCGAAAAGGACTGGATGAGTCATTTGCAACCCTCTGTTCGTACGGTCCTGACCTCCTTCATTCTTTCCTTCCTTCTTTTCTTCCCTCCCTCCCTCCCTCCCTCCTTCCATCCCTCCTTCCCTCCCTCCCTCCCTCCCTCCCTCCCT